CACTTTATTGATGTATGGCAGTGCACTTTGTTGCTGATCAGTTTTGGCTGATACAGGTCTACAAAAACAGGATTTATAAAAAACAGGATTTATGATGTCACATCATCAGTAGTGACATCTTTGAGTATCCAGACACTTGCAGGTTTTGGCAGTATTCATACTGCTGTGGGCCTACAACCCAGCTGGCAGTGCAATAGGCAGGGCTTTGCCCAAATCTCAGTCCTTTGAGGCTGCTGTCTGAGCAGTATCTGCAGCCAAGTCACTGCATTTATTACTGGTGTCCATATGATGGAACTCTTTGTAAGGCATTGTCACCATTTGGAAACTATTTCAGTGATGAGTCACTCTTGGCCAAATTACATGTGTATGTGGCTTCCAATATAACATGCATAAGGCTTGGCTTGTGGCAAGGGCCTGCAGCAATTTCCTGCCAAAGCTGATAGGACTATACAATGTTATATGATGACAGCTCTAATGTTATACAGCATGAGCTCTGGTCATCCTGACACTGATGCTAGTGATTTTTTCCAAGCATTACAATGAGCATCAGTAGGATGTGTGTTCAGATTGGCACCTAACAGGAATTCAATCCCAGTAAGGTTATGGTAAAAACATCAATCTTACTGCATCCACTAAAATAACTGTACAATGCAACCCCAGGCTCCCAGCAACCAGAGGTTAACAACCTGTGGTGCCATGGAGATGTTGCAGTGCCCCACTTGGCCTATGAACTGATGACGATAGTGCCACAGGCCTATCTGACCATCGCTCTATTGCCCTGGCATTTGCCATTGCATTGACATCATTCACTCCCTCAGGGGTATTGTCCTCTTGCCCTTCCTCCCCACCAGAGGAGACACCTGACTCTTGCATCTCCCCTTTTGTAAATTCCTTTCCCCTCTGTTGGGTGATCAGTGTGCAGCACACCTCAATAGTCCTGGATACTCACCGAGCACTGCAGTCCAATTCATGTTCAGCAATCAGCTATGCTATTGCCCTGGTGAGGCTTGGGCAGCATTGTACCTTTCCTTGATTACACTTTACAGGTTTTGCACTGGTGGCATTAACCAGGTCTCCTATGGGTATCCTGGCACCAAGGGGCAAACTGATGCTGGAGAGCAAACACTTGCCACCTGTGAGTAGGCGAGGATGGATACTGAGAGATCCCTGGTTGGAATGCACACCTGAAGGATTAGTTTGCTGTGGTCACAGAGCAGCTGTATGTACAGTGGGCGAAACCCCTTCCCTGCTTCTGCTGCCAGTGAGCCCTCAGCACTATGGGTACAGCCAGCCACCCTCGCAGGAAATCCTGCCCTGCTCCAGCAGCCCGGCTCTCTCTGTCTACCGCGATTGGAACAACCTGCTTTTGTGAACAGGACGTTGGTAACCTCCCTGCTGTGTTTGGGAGTGGTTGACTGTGATACATGCATGTTCCCAGTACAGCCCTGGAGAGAGCCACTGATGAAGAATTTCAGTGCTGTGGTCGATTTCAGTGTTATTGTCACTGGGTTGCCTCCTGATCCTTACAGAAGCAACGCTTTTTTTTTAGGAACTGGCATATCATGACAGCAGCTCATAACATTCTCAACTGCCTTTGGCTACCTGCATACAGGGAGACACACTGCCTGCAATGTGTCCAATAGCCAATACTCTCCATCTCACATTTTATCTGTATTAAAATTCATTAGTCAATTACACATCCATTCTGAGGAGGAGTTACTGACCAGTGAGAATAGCTTTTCCAAAGACTTCATTTAAGAACTTCTCAACAATGGCTCGGTTTTCCCCATTCAATGTCACTCTAATTGAATGATACATTGTATAATGGTTTCTAGGCGTACTTTGAGCCAAGTGCAGTTGCTTGAATCTGGCCAATGGACCAAGCACTTCACTCACAATCGATTACCTGGGTTACAGGGGCCAGACAATTCATCTCTGCATCCTCTGAAAGACTTTCCAGGGTTGGCAATGTGACCCCCTGCTCTCCCTTCGTTTTGTGAGCTTCCATCATTGCTCCTCTCTGGACAGTTTCTCCTCTGGAATGAGGGCCTTTTTGGGTCTGTCCCCTTTTCCCTCCTGTCCCTCTTCAAAATTAAGTTTTATCATTACACTAAAATAAATTCAGTAACCTATCACAGCACAATCATGTTATTGTTCCTGTAACATTTCTTAACCAGCCATCTGCTGAAACATTTTTCACTGGATGGTGCATGACAAAAAAAAATGTAAGAGGGGTCCAAATTTCAGGCCACGTGCTAGAGATATCACCATCCAGAGAAATAACAGTGGATTTTTAATAGTAGGAAACAAACTGTGAAATATAAGAAGGCAGTAAGCTTTTACTTTTTGAGTAAGACGCAATCTTTTGTCCCTGATTTTAAGGGACTGATGTACTGGAGAAATTGTATTATTTCAAAGAAGACAAAGAGATGATATGGAAATTACTGCATTTTTAAAATTAATCTAGGCCAGGATGTTACAAACACATCATTATCGCTTCCTACAGGAGAGTTATGAAATTAAAGTGCACACATTAATGTAGCAAGAAGCTTGTACTGCAGGAATGAATTACCAGTGTCATATCACCATATATCAATCATCACTATCTTGTTTAAAGGCAAAATTTGAAATTCTCCACATATGTATCACAGAATATAGAAGTAATTAGAGAACATCTTAGGAAATATTATTCATTTTACTGGGATGGATCGCTTTTTTGTATGTACCATAACATGCAGATATAATGTGACTGTGAACAAGTACATATTAATGCATGTGATGACAACACAAAGCATACCTTGAAAGTGAATGCAGTCATCAGGTCCCACCTTCTTTCTTCACAAAGCATGGAGAATCCAGAGAAGATGTTAAATTAGGCCTACCAGGAAACCTCTTTCCTGTGGCTTCACACAGTTTCAATTATACTGATGAGGGCCATAAGGCTGAAGGAATACACTTGAAGCTGATTTCAGACCATATGACCACATTTAATTCAATCAGCTTCACTCTGGAGTTACGTAAAATATGTGGATGCAAAGCAGAATGTGTCTTCACTGTATAATACAACTCCCCCAATGGGGAAAGGAACCTGAGAACTGGCACCTGAAGACAGAAATGAATTGCTCAATAAACCATAAATCAAATAGTTACATTAATTACATAAGTTACATTTTCAACAAACATTGTATTGTGTAAAATCATCTGCCAGAAATAGTAAGTAGTTAGTATTAAACTCATTTATCTATAGTATGCCACTAGTCTCAAATCTCCACTGGGGACAACCTTACACTTAGACTCGGAGATCGCGGCTGTGCTGAGGTTTTAGTTTTAGATTTTTAAATTTTTTCACTTTCAGTCCAAGTTTAATCCAGCAGGCATTTTTATTCTTACTAAAATTACAAATTATCAGAACTGTGCTACATGCTACATGCTCATAATTCTGGACACTGTTTTTGATCTGCTGAAACTCTATGGTACGTGAGTGACATTTTACAGCGGCCCTTAAAGTAATTCTACTATCTAATGGTCATCAGCAAAATACAAACACACAAAATGATTGGAATTGAATGAATTTATTGATCTTGCACTGAAGTTGCTCACAGTTATATTACAAGGGGGAAGGGGGAGGGGGGAATTGGGTGGGTACATTGGATAGTTTGTCTGTTAAATAAGTAATTTTTTTCCCCAAGTACAAAATAGGAAGGATATCAATATAAGTATTGCTTTATTTCTTCCCCTTCCTGCTTGTATCATCCATGTTGTACTCCAGCCATTTTGCAGAGGTACGGTGCAAGGAAGCATTCGTTTGTGCACGTGGGAGAGCAAGAAAGAGGACAGAGCGTTATGAGAACAATTACAGCAACATCATGCAAAGAAAAAACCATGTCTGACATGCACACAGTTATACAAGATAAATTCAATAACAGTAACCTCCAGTGTTTCAAAGTCCATTGTTGATTTACTTATGTACAAGAACTGGTCCAATAATTTTACCTGTGGAACACGCACACTGATATGAAACTAACAAATAGCAATATAAGATAATCATTTCAGACACTACTGCTATTCTACATTCTTAAAGTACTGTTTTTGTTTTAAACATATACTACAAGTTCCTTGAATCGGGACAGAATAAGTTAATATTGTTCACAAAGCTCTGATAAATTGGACAAAATATTTTTTTTTCCTTTAATACAGTAAGTGTTGCCTCTATAAGTCATTCACAATGAAAGACAACATTCATACACCTAGACGTTCTGCTGATAAATTACTGGGGTTCAATAAATAAGAACAGAAAGGGGAAAAAATATATAAAATGCCCACAATAAATGTAGCCTTTTACAGCAGTGGGTGGTCAAACCATCCCCCCACCCCATGATAGTAAACCAGCAACATGATTCAATCGAACATGGTGCCATTGTGAAATGAATAAAATATTTATATATACACATATATATTACCCTGAAAATAAATAATACTGACAAACTTATAACTGGCAACACAGTGTTTGAATCTGTTTTGTTCTACAGCTAAACAAGGTGTCACAACTAGACAAACAGAATTTATACATAAAGTAGGGGTGGTACAAGGTGGCAAGTTTGTTACACTTGTTCGTGCTTTAGTTCATTGCTGCGGTATTGTCTGACCCCCTGATTTCTTACCCATCAGCAGCAGTCTCACCAAAGTCCTGCTTATACAAAGAAAGAGTCCACTGAGGCTGCTGGAGCTGATGTTGCTGTGGTGGTGCTGTTCAATTCACCCCCCACATCCCCGCTCTGGTGGATAACCTGCTGCTGAAGGGTGTCAGTCTCTCCCAGGATTTCTGTTCCCTTTCCCGGGATGCAGCAGCTCTTGATTGGTCAAGTGTTAAGCGTCATTAGGGCGCCAGGTTCCCACATGCACCAAGACATCAGCTGCCTTTCCTTCGACAAATATCCGCAGCCATAGTGTTCACCAGATGGGGTTTAACAAGTTTTCTGGACAATTCCTGGCAGTAGAGTGGAAATAAATCAGGTCATCATAAAAAGGAGAGCAGCAAAAACAGGGAAACAAAATGTTGTAGAGAGGGGTTGCACGTGCTAATCCTCAGTTATACACAATCATTCCGCCATACAAAATCTGTCTATGGACATTGTACCGAAGCAGTCTGTTATTTACTTCCTTTCAGAACACGGGACTAGTTCTAAATGGATTTAAGGTTGGTCCTGTGTCCCAATACTTGGCACCATCTTTGCCTTCTCTTTCCCAGCTGGAAATTTAGAGTGTCCTCTAGAACCATAGTCAATAGCATCAGGATCACTCTGCTTGCTGTTTTGTGCCATGTTTGGTTGGCGTAGCTGATGGATGAGCTACTTGCCCATTATTCTTCTCGTCTGAAAAAAGTTGTTTAATTACGTCAAAGAAGTTACTCAATGGGCTGCCTGGGTACACAAACAGAAAGAAAGAAAGAACAAACAAACAGATGAACAATGGGTCACGAGAGAAGTGAAATGAGATCCATAGCCACAAACGCCTGAAAGAAGAAGCATGTCACCACTGAGCCTTTGAAATCACAACTTTTTTTTTGGTTAATTGGTTTGTTTGGAAATGATCAAGTCAAAAGACTTCTTGCAATTTAGTTTTCGTTTGAAAGTGGCTTTGGAGTCTCACTTTTTCTATTTGAATGGAATTAGTTGATAGAAAGAATGGAAGAGAGCACTGAAGATGCTGGAAGGGGGGACCATGTCTCACTGGAAAAAGGGATGTTGCTGAGAAATACTTTAGCTGCTTCAAACAACACAATTACAACTATTGACTTCACACACACTTCAACACCGACATTCCCAACTCTCTTAATTCTTTCTAATTAAAATCAGGACTTCCTGGCCTGTCTTAGATAAGAGGTGGAGGAGGAGGAGGATGTAGAGAAAATGGGAGATAAAAAAAATGGGAAATTTAACCCTCCCCCAGACAAGAGGTTTTCCCAATAATAGGCCATTAGTTTGGTACTGCAGGAATTTACAGTATCTGGAGACTTCAGTGAACACAACTGGATTGCAATGAGTCCATGCAGCTCTGACTGGTATCATTCATCATAAAAAAATTTGAAGGCATTTAGTGCCTATTGTCTGAACCACCCTCTTTAGTGACAGATATACTTTTCAGGCTACTGACCAAAAATGTTTTCATTAACTAATTATTTTCTGTAACTCTTCCAATTACCCTAAACAGGAAACTATTCTAAATAAAAACCAAAAGAACTGCTTATGCTGTAAATCAGGAACAAAAACAAAGTTGCTGGAAAAACTCAGCAGGTCTGGCAGCATCTCTGAAGGAGAAAACAGAATTAACGTTTTGGGTCCGGTGACCCTTCCTCAGAACTCATTCTAATTTAGCTTCTGCATAACCAAGGTTAAACTGCATGAAAAATGTTTGTAACAGCTTTTACAGCAGGTACCTTTCAAGCTGGACAAAGACTTAATAAAACTGAAATCATTTCATAAATTTAATCTGCAGGCCCAGAGTATTTTTCAAAGCTGCCATCATCTTTCACCTAATTTAATTCTGCTCCTTACTGGCTCATTTGCTAAGTATTGATGTGAAACTGAGTCACAAGTCTGAAGGTTGATTTTAAGTTAAGTAAAATATGCTGGGCCCACATTATATTTGGACAAAGGACACCAAGGGTTTTCCTCCTGATTCGCTGCCAGAAATTGTGCATGTTGATGTTGAGAGAGGTTGGACTAAATTCTATTGTGTTAACCCCACTCCCTCATCCTCACCTTCTCCCTGTGATCAAAACATCCAGCCAACACTCACTGCCCAGATCAAGGATAACACTTGGGCAAAATACCAGAGGCTAGCTGCTACATGTAAAACTAAATCATGGGCCAGGGGAAAACTAGGAAAACTAACATCATTACAAATTGTACTCCTTGAATGTTTAAACTTCAGTTTAAAAAGTAAGTTTTTTTCAGTTCTATATTTATCTGAGAGATGCTAATTTCAAATAAATAGTATATTTCATGTCACACGTGGCATTTAGTTCAAAAGACTTATTCAAAGTTATCATATCCAGCTGAGATGATGTTCCCTAAATTACTGGAAAGTAATTAACCAATCCACCAAAAGGTGCAGAGCTGAATGAACACAGCAGGCCAAGCAGCATTCTGCTCCTATGATGCTGCTTGGCCTGCTGTGTTCATCCAGCTCTGCACCTTGTTGTCTCGGATTCTCCAGCATCTGCAGTTCCTACTATCTCTAACCAATCCACCACTCACTCATGTCCCAGCAATTTCAAGGCCAAAGACCTATTTGCCACTTTAGCAAGAAACATTTCTCACTCATAATGTCTACCAGTTCTTAGCCTGCTAGTACAGGAGACAGAGAGAGAGAGCCCTACAAGACAATACAAAAGCTAACAAGTAAATGCCATTAAAAGCTTCAATTACAGTTCATGTAGCCTGATAAAGAACAACATAGACCAGTTCAAAAGCTTGACTATCTCATCTTTCAGAATCAAGCAAAGTACATTAGCCTCAAATGGAATAAACGTCCAGGGCAATAGAACATTAGAGCAAAATAAAACCAACTAACAGATATTCTGAAATTCTAAATACATCAACAGCAACGTGCTTAACAAGTCTTGACGGGACAAGTGCACTAAAAGATATACATGATTAACTTATTGGAATGATTAATAATTAAACAATCCTTGTTCTTCAAAGTTTACAATGAAAATTGGCTTGTTAACACATTATGTAACGTAATACAACAATTTGTCTGCTTTAAATCTTATCATAAAGAAAACAGTGACTGTGAATGACTCAGTGATGTTATAGAACAAATGATTAAAAAGCTCCATCAAAATCTTCTCTCCACGGATTCAACAAAGGCGCTAATCTATTTGGAATAAGTGGGCTAAGCCTCTGTCAAATTAGTGAAGAGAGGAACTTGATATGAGTTTGCTAAGGAACGAAAAACAATATCTCTAATGATAATTCCCATCTTAAATTTTGAAACCAAAGCATCTGTGTGTCCTGGACACAGTAAAATGTTTACTTTTTCTTCAAAGCTTTATGCCAATTTCTCATTAAAATAATGCTATTCTGTGCCAGTGGATAGTCTCGTTCCGAACAACTTCAGGATGTGTTTCGGATTATTGTGTGAACAGATCATACTTAATACGTATGCTTTCAGCTGACTTGTTCATTAGTTTAAAATTTTTCTCCATATATAACCGAAAAGCCATAAATCAGAGGAATAAAGAAATGAACAGAAAGGATAAATGGTGGTCCAGTTCTAGAGCAAAATAAATCCCACACTGTAGTGCCAAAATGAGAACACTTGATTCCGATTTCCCTCAGTCATTTTGTTTAAAGTGTCCATGCTTGTTTATGTGCATTTCTGTTCCATCTCCATGGGATGCCTTTGTGAAGTGCTTAAATCTAAACTGTTTGCCAGTTATGACACTATTTAATAATCAGAAGACAGTCTCTCTACTATTGTCTGATCAGACTCAAGCTCTTGATTCCACAGCTGGGATCCTTAAGCCAATTCATGGATATATTTGTGAGAAATAATTTTATGCTAATTCCACAGTACGTCTCAATGTTATTTACTACGTAAATTAATATGTTGCAAGCCTGTCAGTAGCTATCTGTAGACTGATCACAGAACCTAAGTAGGGTTTTTCAGAATCTTACAATCTCCTCATTTAATGCCTCAATTAATCATTTACCAAGAAAATGAGCCAAAGGTTATATGCAAATCTCATTCAAAACAACAGGAACATTATTAGTTATGGTTGGGAAGTGTAGTATCATTGAAACCCAGTGCTAGCGCCACATGAAAACAGTCAATCAAATACAGAGATATAACGGGCAAAAGATCTCCTTTCAAGCTCACTGCCCCATTGACAATCACACTTATCAACAAACTACTCAAGACAGTCTTAATTTTATTATACAGTGGCTTGGGCTTTATCATTTAAAAACAAGCAATGCTATAAGCACTCACTTTTATTAAGTGTAATGTGTTGTTAACAATAAATCAGGGTTCTAGTTGCTCTGGTCCTCAGTAAACTACAAGTTCTGCCAAATGATATTTCTGGCACTGAAAATTAACAAGTGTGTAGTCTCATTCCTTTGGATTTTAATTATTGCTTCAGATTTAAACAAGAGTATTTATATTCACTTTTCTCTCTCTTAATTCCATTGTCCAATATCCTTCTTTACAGCTTCTTCTGTCAAAAGAGCTTCAAAATCATAATATGTTCCAATGCAAAACAAAAACGGACTTGTGGGAAGCTATGAATAGCTGGAGACTTTTGTTCACCACTGAACAGAAAACAGTTCAATGACTATGAGTTTGTGTTCATTAATACTGATTGTAGAATCTGAGACATGTACATAGCACACACGTACAGTCATTTTGAAATACCTGAAATTAAATAATGTTTCCTAATCCAAAACAGTAACATTAGAAACAAAAGCATTAAGAACCAAAATGGGTCTTTCTTAATTGCAGCCTTTATTCAGTGAGGAGTACTCCTGACTTTGACTACGATAATTATGGTTCTGAGTCCCACTTATACAGTCACACACCATGGAAACAGACCCTTCGATCCAACTCATCCACGTTGACCAGACATCCCAATCTGACATAGTCCCATTTGCCAGCATTTGGCCCATATCCCTCTCAACCCTTTCTAATCATGTACCCATTAAAACGCCTTTTAAATCTTGTATTTGTATACGCCTCCACCACTTTCTCTAACACCTCGTTTCCTTTCTGCACCACCCTCTGCATGTTAAAGTTACCCCTCAGGTCCTTTTTAAATGTTTCCCCTATCACCTAAACCTATATCCCCCAGTTTTGGACTCCCCCCACCTGAGGAAAAGACCTTGGCTATTTACTCTATCCATGCTCCTCATGATTTTACAAACCTCGATAAGGTCACCCCTCAGCCTCCAACTCTCCAAGGAGTAAAGCCCCAGCCTATTCAGCCTCTCCATACAAGTCAAACAACATCCTTGTAAATCTTTTCTGCACCCTGTCAAGTTTAAAAACATCCTTCCTATAGAAGGGTGACCAGAATTGTATGCAGTACTCTAACTGGCCTCACCAATGTCTTGTAAAGCTGCACCATGACATTCCCACTCCTCTACTCAATTTTCTGGCCAATCAAGGCGAGTGCGCCAAACACCTTCTTTACTACCCTGTCTACATACGATTCCACTTTCAAGGAACTATGCGCCTGTACCCCTGGTCCTTCCATGGTTTGCCTTACCAAATTGCAACACTTTACATTTGTCTAAATTAAACTCCATCTGCCAATCCTCAGCCCACTGGCCCATCTGATCCATTGTACTCCGAGATAATCTTCTTCACTGTACACTACACCACCTATTTTGGTGTCATCTGCAAACTTACTGACCAT